TACCTTATAATTAAAAGCCAAATTTTTCTAACACAACCTTCCAAGTAGCTATAAGCGACTTTGTAGGGAACACTTTGCCACAACTGTTGCTGCTGAATTTGCTTTAGTCTGCATACTAGTTGAGCAATAATCTTAAAATAAGTGTGAAGAAAAGAAACGCTTTTGACCTGGTGTAGAACAACCAATATTTAAGCTAGTCTTTTCTTTTAACTGTTGTTAAAAGCCCTAGTCTGGCTCTAAAAAGTTTATTATGGTTGAAAGTTGCTTGATACATGAAAAACGGAGATTTTTTTTTTTGAAGTGGATGACAATAAATTTTTCTGTGTAACATTTATATTGAATGACACTTGATTTTCAATGTCCCATGACTAATAATTGTTTATCGTTTACGTTAAGGATACCAGCTGCAACTTTTGATGATGGTTGCTACCACCTTTGCGTCATATAAAAATGATTGCAACCACTGGTTGCAACCATCTTTACGACCATTTTGTTTCCTTTTTTGGATTGCGACATGGAACACTAGTTTACGTCCCATATATTTAATTACCATTAATTAATTTGTAACGCGTTAATATTCATTTAATTTATTTAAACAAAAAAAGAAAGATACTCCGCCACCAGGGTGGTCATGACATGGCAAATGTTTGTTTCTTGTTAATTTAAATATTTTTTTTAAATAATAAATGAATGAATTCCAAATTGTTTTTCTAGTGGCAATGCTAATACTAAATCAATAATGGATTAATTTCTTGCTGGTATTTTTAGTAGTAGGAGAGGATTTTTTTCAAAAAAAGCTTAATTAATTTTCTTTAACAACACATTTTTGGAAAAGGCTTGATTTTAATCAAGCGATTTCTTTTTCATTTGTTTTTTACTTATAAATACAACCTCTGAATGTTTTAAAAAAAAATTGGGAGAGTGATCATGATCATGATCAATGATCAAAAGATTTATACAACGCAATCAATTTTGTGAAACAAAAATTTTCCTTTTCTTTCAAAAATTTCCAAAATATTGCCAATCTTTTCTAAATTGTTACAAAGTATGTTGCACTGATTTGATTGAGTTGTATTCTTTCGTTAACAAGAAAAACATGGCGGGAGCTTTATTAATTGATCATATATTTTACAAAATTATATAATATGTGCATTTTTAGCTTTTCTAGAGGTTTAC